CGGGCCTCCCATTGCTGTACGGCATCCAGATCTTCTTCAGGGGGTTCTGGGTCAATTCCCGTGGGGACGCCATACCCGGGACGTGATGAGTCGGACTGCTCGGCTTCCGACCCGGCAGCCAGGCCACCTCGGGCCACTCGAGGCCCCGCCCCTCGGCCCCGCCCCTCCTTGAGCCTCGGCCAGTCCGACTCCCCGCAGGCCCCGCCCCAGAACGAGTAGGCCCTACCCCGACTGAAGAGGGCCCGGCCTCCGACCACGCATGCCCAACTTGCCTGCCAGCCGGTTTTGGACCCAGCAGGCCCGCCCTTCACGCCGGGATCGGGGACGCGCACGCCCAACTCCCCACAGGTTCAAGGCCTGGATAATAGTGCGGACCCTGCCGGGGATGCACGAGCCTGGCACGCCCAACGGGACCGCGCAGATTTGCATCGGCCTCATCCACCGCTTCGCTTTGCACAGCCTTGCCCCCAGGGTACCCGGGTTCCGCTCCTTGCTACCGCTGATCTCAGGGCCCCCGGGAGGGAGGGATCTGCAGGCCAAGGAGCTCCGCCTGCTTGACCCGCAGGTCTCAGTTGGTCAGGACCAGTCTGGTGGCCCCTGCGTTATGCCAGTTGTCAACCGCTGCGCCCCCCAGCCGTGTGTCCCGACCCTCTCTCGAGCCCCAGGATTCTTCCTCGCCCACTGGAGTGACCGGCGCAACCACGCTGGAAAAATCTTTTACCTCACGGACAGGGACATCTCAAAATTGTTTCCTCTCTTTACCTTGGCCGCTCGGGAACTCAGGCGAAACTCCGGCCCACCTGGAGCACGTGAGCAGAACCTTTTAACCAAGGTCCCTGGGGACTCACTGAGCCCTGGCAGTATCTAACTTCTTCTAGGATTTCATTTTTACCAATTAAATTGTAAATTGTAAATTTGCATATATTAAAAATGATCCTCCATCTCATCATCAGGAAAATAGAATGCAGGCATCATCAACCTTACAGGATTCTGGTATAGATTAAATGTGTCAGTGTCTGAGAAATCCATTCTAAAGCACATTAGTGATATCGTTTGTATTACTTATCTCCCTCCTGTCTCTAAGAATGCAGTGGAAGCAAAGGGCAGGGGAGAAATCCAGAAGTTCAGGAACCCTGGGTCGTTCTTTGTCTCCTCAGGCCAGCTTCTCCAAGTTCTGTATACTTTCTGTCCTGGGGCCCCCCCACCGACACTGCTCAAACTTGGGCCACACTGCCCCCTAGCGATGTCCTCCACAAAACCCCCAGACAGGATCATGACATCCTCAGGTTCTCTGCCCAAAGTGTGTCCAGCCAGGATAACAAGGTTCTGCCCAGCACACCACAGGTGCTGCAGCCCCCTCCCTCTGACCTCCCTGCCACACACTTGTCTCCACCCAGCACTTCAGAGCCTGGCAAGGACCCTTAAGATAACTCTGATACAGATGTCTTGCCCCCGTCACAGGAGATGAAGGTTCAGGAGGTGAAAGCCCTCCTAGATCCTCCCTAAAACCAGCTCTAGCCGGCTACCCCAGGAGGAATGCCCTGCCCCAGACAGAGCTGAGCACTTCCTCCTTCATCCTTCCTCTGCAGTGTCCACCCCCCACCTCCCTCCACCTGATGCAGAAGCAGCTCTGTGCACACCCGTGGGCAGCTCTTGATGAGCAGGATACCGCTTGTGACAACCCGCCCGCTTTCCTACTTCTCCAAAGCCACTCATTCTGTTCCTGACACAGCCAGCCTTGCCATCTGTCTCCTAGCCATTGCCAAGGCCATCCCGGGGCCACCTTGACCTCAGAGACCTTGTCACCACCCGCCCACACCCTCTCCAACCCCCAGCACTTATTGCAAAAGCTACATGTTCTAGCATCCACAGTCACCCAGCACTTCCTCTGGCCTGCCCATTCTCTTCCTCAGCCCTCTTGGGACGTTAGTCAAAGGCTGGGGGTACAGGGTAGCCAGAGCAGGGCAGGATGCCAGGGCCATTTCGAGGGAACTGTCCCCACGCCCAGACAGTCTGAGCCTCGCTTCCTAGGAAGAGCTGTGGCTCTGTACCTCCCACCCTTCCCCAAACAGTCTGACCCTGGGCTGACCCAGACACACCTTCCCAAGTCCCCACACCAAGCGGGAGGCCACAGGTTACCAGCAGGAGGAGCCTGGGGCTCCTCCCCAAGGCCAGAGTCTACCTCTGCTCTAAGAACATTCTTCATCTCCCTGCCCATTTCTCGAGTAGGAAACTGAGGGAGGGGAGCAGGGCCCAGGGTCACAGAGTCAACCCAGAGTGCAGGATGGACTCAGATGAACTCCCAGCCCTTCAAAACCTCACCTCCCACATCTTCCATGTTACCACATTTCCCACCCCTACACCTAGGCTCTGGTTTGTTCCCTCCAATGCTCTCTTGCATCAGTAGATGCCCAACAGAACAGTCAGCCTTCATGGCTTTTCCCTCCTTGGGGCCATCCCAAAGTGATGGGGTGGAAAGTACTGGGATGTCAGCATGCACTGGTGTGTGGCTATGTTCTGCTCAGCCTCCCCGCTCCTCTATGAACCTGCCTGGCCTGGCCCAGGTTGGATCCAGTGGTGCCCTCTGCACCGACCACTGGACCTCTCTCCAGTGTCCCTGGCTACAAGCTATAGGGTGGCTGAAGTCCTAGCTCTCAGTTCTCAGTGCTCAAACTCTTCCCCATCCCTGTATCTGCTGGTCAGACCTGGCCAGACTTTGCAGCATAAAGGCCCAGGCCTTTGGGTCAGCGAATGCCACACAGACCCACATGCCCACATGCCCACGCATGGAAGCGTGCACACAGAGCCCCACGTTCATGCATACTAGCAACCCAGGCCTGCCCAGAGACAGGCAGGCTGCCGGGGGTCCGCTGCTCTCTACTGCCTCCCTTCCCCTTTATTTCCCTCCTCCTCTCCCCTCTGCTGCCACTGGGAGGTTCAGGGAGTTCCCAGGGCCACTTCAAGCCAAGGATCATCCCCGGTATCTCGCTGGACCCAGAGCTCACAGAAGGTGTGAGGTTCCAGCTTGGGGGTATGGAGCCATATGACTGAGCAGCCTGTGAACTGTGGTCTGCACTTGCTGATTCCAGCCTGGCATAGGGCACACAGTAGGTGCTCAAAGTGACTCAGGGCCAGCCAAGGCACACAGTTAGGGCTCAGAGAGGTTCATGACCAGGACAGAGCACACAGTAGGTGCTTAGAGCAGCCCAGGACCCACGCAAGGCACACAGTAGGTGCCCTAGAAATGCTGGTTTAAGGGCGAAAGCCACTTCATACGAAAAATTTTCCAAATGAGCCCCTGGGCCTCCCCAAAATGATGTGTGACCCCTGAGGGGGGACCTGGACAAACATGACCCCCTTGGAGACCAGCAAAGGGCAGAACAGGAGGGCCTCAGGCAGCTCCAGCTGGCTGTCCCTCTCTCTGGGCTGGAGGAAGAAGCTATTTATAGTTCCCCTTGGCCCAGCCCCCCCACTCCCCTGCAAGGCGACAGTGTTCCCCCTCCTCCTTGCCACTGACAGGCTGATGCCCCCTCAGAGCACCCCTACACTTAGAGAGACCCCCCAACACCCTCGCACCTCTTCCAGCACCACCCCCACTGTGCTCTGGTCGTTCCCCCAGCCTCCCCCCCACCCTCTCCCCGCCGCCCATGCCTACCCCGCCTGCTGCTCCCTGACCCGGGGTCCGTCAGGGCGCTGCCTCCCTCCTCGCCTCTGTCCATTCTGCAAGCGAAGTGGCCCGGGCAGCCGCCCCCTGCAGCCTGGAGCCGGGCAGCCCCGCCCTCTGGGTGCGGGAGGGAGCTGCGGTGTGCCCCGTGTGGCCCCGCCTTCCCAGCCCCGCCCTGGGCCCGCCCCCCAGGGCTGCTCACAACTTGAGAGATCAGCAGTGCCCCCACCCCAGGCAGCCCTACTCCCGCCCCCGTGTGGCCTCCCTCTCTGGCCAGAGCAGTCCATACTGCCCAGGGTCTGCCCTTGGCTCCAGCCAGAGCCATCCACACTACCTAGAGTTTCTGCCCCATATGCGGGCAAGCCTGTCCACACCGTTCAGAAGGTCAGTCCCATCTCCAGCCCGGCCATGGAGCTGGCCATGTGAGATTAGGGAAAACCTATTCCTTCCACACCGAGGGACCAGGTTGGTGAAATGGTGCAGGGGTGCGTGTGGGGGGGAGTGGGCGGAGGGGCAGCATAGCCAGCTATGACTCAGCCCTGGGTGCCCATGACTGTGACCCTCGTTCATCCCATTCTCCAGGCACTACATTTCTGGAGCTCTCTCCTGCGTGCCAGAACCTTCATGTACACTGTCACTTGGTGTTCGCAAGAAGCCTGGTGGCATCACTGCTCTACAGAGGAGGAAACTGAGGCTTGGAAAGATGAGCACGTTTGCTCCGGACAGTTGGATGAAGGAGGGGCAGAGCTGGGCTGGAGCCCCAGCAGCCCGAGCCACGCGTGTCCAAGGGCCACGGCTGGGTGTGCAGGCGTGTGGGTAGGACAGTGCCTGGCTGTGCATTGAGCATGCTTCATGCTGGTTTGGGGGACAAGCCCCTGTTCCACGCAGCCCCCTCACCTGCCCTCACCTTGCCCACCCACAGTCACAGCTATCAGATACGCAGAGACGCAGCCGCCCATGCACGCGTATGCCTGCCACAAGGCAAGGCTGCCACAGCCACAGACTTGCCACATCCGGCCACCCATGCCTGGAGATGCCCCTGACGGCCCCTTCATCGGAGGTGGGTGCTGCCTCGGGGAGCACAAAACATGTGTGTGACCCTCAGCCTGCACTTCCCTGTGTGGTGACCCATGGGGGGCAGGGCAGACCTGCGGGTCTGGTCTTAGGCAGACTCGTCTCAGATAACATGTCGGGCTCCTGTGCCGAAGTTCCTAAAAGTGGAGCAAGAGTAACCACATTGAGTGTCTGGATGCTCTTTGACCTTGGGGCACCCAGACATGGCGAGACTCCACACAGTAGTGACATTCCACGGTAGCGTCCAAGCTGTCCAGACATATTGGAAGTCTGCGGGGCTCCAGGCGTGGCAAGACTCCGTTTGGCAGCCCCCCAGTCTGGCAACGTCCAGGCTATCCAGACACACCGTGGCTCTGAGAGGCACTCAGCTGTGATATGACACCATCTGGCAGTGACCCCACAGGGTGGTGGCCAGGCGCACCATGCCCAGATGTAGCCCGTCCTGCTCTGCCACCGCCTTCCAGGTCTCCTGATCCGGGGTGGTCCCATCATTGTGACCCCCACCCTCCGGCTCAGCGGCGGCCAACGTGCGCCAGGATGCGAGCGTTGGTGGCGGCCTGCTCCCTCGCAGCTCTGGCCCGGGCTTGCTCCAGTAAGATCCGCAGGAGGCCAATGGGGACATCCAGCGAGAGGATGATGCAGGGGCCCGGGCGGGGGCCGGGGCTGGGGTGGCCCCAAGCAGTGGACGGGCCTGTGGTGCTGGCTGAGGTGCTGTCCGAGGCCACGGAGCGGGGAGTGGCCTGGGGAGGGTTCTGAGGGAGGAGCTGGGAAACTGGGAGAGGGGTCGCAGGGACAAGCAGGGCCCTGCCCAATGTCAGGACCATTAGCACCAGCAGAGCCCACCTGGTCATCGTGGTGGTCAGGCTGCAAGGAGAAAAGAGGCTCAGGGCAGGGGCTCTGGGCAGCCATGGTGCATGGACAGAGACAGATGGGGAAAGCAGACAGACAGACAGGGAGACTGAGGGAAAGAGACAGAGAGAGATTAGAGAGGCCAGGCAAGGGATGGAGAGAGATAGAAGAGACAGAGATGAAAGGACAAGACAGCCAGAGTGAGACTGAGAAAATCAAGACAGAGCTAGACAGATCAGGGGCCAGGGAGATAAAGAGAGCACAGCTAGATCTAGATGTAGAGATAGAGATACACTTGGGGAGGGGAAGGAGAAGAGGGAGAAAGAGGAGAGAGAGGAGGCAAACCAAAAGAGAGGGAGCCTGGAAGAAAAAGAGGCTGGAACCACCCCAGACACAGACAACATGATAAAGATAGGGATGCAAAGGGGCGCCTGGGTGGCTCAGTCAGTTAAGTGTCTGCCTTCGGCTCAGGTCATGATCCCAGGGTCCTGGGATCGAGTCCCATATCAGGCTCCCTGCTCAGCAGGGAGTCTGCTTCTCCCTCCACCTTTGCCCCACCCCGTGCTCATGCATGCACTCTCTCTCTCTCAAATAAATAAGTAAAATCTTAAAAAAAAAAAAAAATAGGGATGCAAAGACACAGAGAGAACACGGAGGGACAAAAGGGGAGCCTGAGTTCTGAGGGAGCTTGCAACAGATCGAGGACAAGAAAGAGCAGGAATGGGGTCCTCAAGGTGGAGAAGCAGCCAGAGACTCCAAGGCCCCCTCAGGTCCAGAGACCTCCACCAAACCAAATCCCAGATCCACTCAGCCCCCAAGGCCCTGCCCACCCCACCCAGAGCCACCTCAGTCCTACCAGCGGCAGCCTCCTCTGGGGCCAGGTGGGGCCGCCGGCGCTGCCCGTGGCTGGGGCCAGGCAGCGCAGTGCTGTGGTCCGGCTCTCTGCTCCCTTCACGGCCCATTTCTCTCTCTCAGCCCCCTGAGGTAGGAGCTGGGGCGTGGCCCCTGGCATGAAGCAGCTTCCCCCCTCTGACTCATCCCCTCCTGGGGAGCAGTGAGGACATGTCCTCAGCCCCCACTTGGTCTACTCCTTTTGGGGGACAAGTTGAGGACTGAGGGTCACAGGACAGTGACCAGGGCCAGATAGAGGGACTCTGCAGAATAGCACTGACCTCCCAGGGAAAACCTAACCCCCTGCCACCCCCATCTCCCCAAACAGTCACAACAGGGGCCTTTTAAAACAGCAGCTTTAATGCTCCCTCCAGAATCAGCACCATGTCATCACAGGCTTGGGTCAAGGGGCAGGTCAGATGCAGTCACATCTGCTCCCTGCCCACAGCCGCCCCCGCACTGAGTCATCTGCTGGGGAAGCAGGAGCCACAGTGGGGGTTTGTCCACAGGGGGGAAGGCTAGACCCACGGGACCAAGTCACTGAAATAATGGACACGCTCATGCACGCTCCCATGCGCACAGGCCTCTAGCACCAAGGGGAGGGACAGCAGGACTCCTCCAGGGGACGCTGAACTTCAGCTGGCCAGCTGGTCATCTGGGCCTCAGCTTCGGGCAGCACCTGGGGGGCGCGGCAGACGGGGAGCTGTCTTCAGCCATCTGGCCTTCACCCAGCATGTGTGCCCAGAGAGGCACTGGGCAAAGGATCAGCGGGGCACTGGGGGCATGACAGGAGTGGGGCTCTGACCTCAGAGAGGGGATCCTCACTCAGGTCCTTGGAGGAGGGAGCATGGAAGGGACCCCCCAGCTAGGGTTCTCTGTTCAGTTCCTTGGTCTGGGGGTCTGTCCCAGGCCCCCAGTCTGAGGGGGCTCCTGACCCGGGCCCCCGACAAGGACCTGATCTGGGGAGGCTCGGTGTCTTGGCTCCTATTGGGGTGGAGGGGTAGGCCCATACCTGTTCCCTGGTTCTGGAGCATGCGGGGCAGGCAGCGGCGCTCACAGGCCTCACGGGTCCCAAAACGGTTGGCATTCCCTCCACAGCCACCATAGACAAAGGGGTGACAGGCCTCTGTGCCACCTGCCGCCGCCCGATGGTACCAGCGCAAGGTGTAGGCAGCGCAGGAGCCCTCGTCCAGTGGAAGCAAGCAGGGGTCTAGGGCCAGCGGGGGTCAGGAGGTCAGCAGGGGCGGTGGCCATCAGAGAGGGACTGGGGGCCTGCCGCCCCTCCCTGAACCCTTCTGGGCCCGCCCCCGCTCTCACCATCGCCATCCCGAGGAGCTTCAGGGTCTTGGTATTCCTCCATGGAGTACTCCGAGTATTCGTACTCGTCGTCCTCAGGGGGCACCTGGCCTGCACACAGGGTGGGGAGTACTGTGACACGGCCAGGCTGCTGCGGGGCCACGTCCATGCTGCCCAACCCTGGCCCTGGGGGGGCCTCCCACGCGTTCAGTGTCCGTGCCGTGCCCTGCGTGCTGCCCCTGTGCACGTGGCATTGCCCCGCACGCAGGAGCAACGCCTCATGGGTCTGCGCCCCACCGCATGGCCCCCCACCCCGGGCCCACCTGTCCTCACCTTCCTCCTCCGTGTGAGAAACCCGGAGCACAGGCACAGGGTGGAGCTGGGGGCCGGCAGTGTCTGCAGCATGACTGGGGAGGGGTCCTGGAGCAAGGGGTAGGGGCACAGGGCCTTGGGGCCATAATGGTGGCCACCCCAGCCACGCCCCGGCTGAGTGAGCCCAGGTGATGGGCACAGAAGGGCCTGGGATGAGGAAAGTTCCGGGAGCAGAAAATACCAGAAAATTACTCACGTGATCCAGATGCGATGAACTGGCTCTGGCAGGCTGGAGCGGGCAGAGAAGGGCAGGGAGAGAGACAAGGACAGAGAGCAAGAGACGAAGATGGAAAGCGGCAGGGGAAGAGACAGAGGGACACACACAGGGGGACACAGATGGACAGAGAAGGACCGCAGGAGAGATGGACAAGAGAGACCAACGGAGGGAAAGAATGGGTGGGAAGCAGAGAGAGAGGAAGGGAGAGAGACAGAGAGAGAGGGTCAGAAGTAGGTGGGCATGGAGAAGGTTCGGAAGCGGTCAGACAGAGGGACAGGAGGAGACACAGCTTCACTCTCTGATGCCCACCGGCCTGCTCCCACCTCCACCCTCCACACAGCCACACTGGGCTGCTAGGAACACTACGGGAAAGTCCTGTCAGCACATCTGTCCTGAAGCGCATGTATCCTCCTGCGTATCTATCCATCCCCGCCCATCTCCTTCACTGCTCGACCCCGTCAGGTCTGCGGACCCTGCCTGCCCCTGTCTAGGGGAGCCGGGGTGGAGTGGGAATGGGACCCAAGAGGCTCTGGGCTGGGCCGCACTCACCGCAATGCTGACTCATCTCCTGACGCACAAAGCCTCGAATGTCATCCTCCTGGGAGCACAAGACCACAAAGGATCATGAAGCACCCATGGATCACGGGAGAGACAAAAGGCATATGATGCAGGGCTCACGGAGGGACAGCACTGAGTCAGGGGCCCAGGCCCAGGCGGTGAGGGTCCTGGGTGTGGAAGGTGGGGCCCAGCCCACCCAGGCCCACACTTACTGTCAGTGCAGCTTCTCCCTTCTCCCCGCGGGGGCCGGCGGGCCCTGGTCGCCCCTACGCACAACGGATGGGACAGGGCTGTGACCCCCGATCTTAGGGACACTGGAGGTCACCCTGGTCTCCAACCCTATGCCCAGGAATCCCTACTCACCTGCTCTCCTCTCTCTCCAGGGGTCCCAGGGGCTCCAGGGGCACCCACCACTCTCTCTCCGGGGGGGCCCCGCTCACCCTAACAGATACAAGGACCCAGTGAGCAGTCAGAGGCAGTGGAGGTCGGAAGTCGGGAAAGTGGGAGATCGTAGGTTCAGAGACTGGGGCAGGGGCCTCGGGGACGGGTTGCAGGGTCAGAGGTCAGTGAGGTTGGAAGGGTCAGGGAGGTTCAGGGGTCAGGAGTCAGAGTCCGAGCTCTTTACCTTCTGGCCCTGAAGTCCTTCGGGGCCTTTGGGACCAACACTGCCAGGTGGCCCAGGGGGACCGCTAGAACCGTCACTGCCCCTGGGGCCTGGGAAGCCCCCAATTCCAGGGGGCCCCTGTGGAGAGACAGTCAGGGTCAGTGATCAAAGCCCCCAAAGATGGATGCACTTCCAGTAAGTATAATCTCCTTAGTTCACCATGACCTTGGTCTCAACTTACCCGCTCCCCTTTCTCGCCCTGGTCACCCTTGGACCCTGGCTGCCCATCAAAGCCTCTATCACCCTGGGAATGGAAAGAAGCATGAGAGACCGTCTGCGTCGGCCTCCTCAGCTCAATGGCCGCGAGCCCCTTGGCCCAACGGCCACAATCTTCCATGACCCAAGCACCTGTGACCCTACGATCCCAGGACCCTTGGTCTGCCGTGCTCCCCATGACCCCGACCTTACTGTCATACCCCTTGCCCTGATTCCACCTATTTCCTTTATACAGACACTCCAACCTCCCCCACTAACCCCTTAGCCCTGATGCACATCTCCCCACTTCACCTCTCATCCCTTAATCCTAAATCCCCACTGTGACCCCAACCCACCCTGAAACCTCAAGACCAACCTCACTCTACTCCGCAATGTCCCAACCCTCCATAACCCTGTTGAAATGACACCCCCATCACCCTACCATGATCTTCCCTGCCCCATTCTGCCCCCCTTATATCCACTGTTGAGAGACCCCATACCTTGGGACCGATCAGGCCCTCCTTCCCAGGGGCCCCCGCCTGGCCCGGCACCCCCGGCTCCCCCTGGAGAAGAGAAAACATGAGCTGGGCCCTGGCCCACCCATCCTCTCCCCATCCTGGGTACCCCACACTCACCATATCTCCCTTGCGTCCTGCCAGCCCAGGGCGGCCCAGGGGACCAGCTTCTCCCTGCAGTGATCAGGTGGAGGGGTCAAACGTAGGCCCAGGCCCCACAGCTGCCCATATCCCCGTCACCTCCGTACCTTATCTCCCTTCTCTCCGTCGAGGCCACAGGCTCCCTTTATCCCTCGCTCACCCTGCGGAGAAAAAGCAGATGGAAAAGTGACTTCCAGATACTTCACCCTATAACCCCTTGACCACGAAACCACTTTCCAAATTGGCCTCAGACACTCTAATCTCTGACCTTCCAACCCCTAACCCAATACCCCACATTCAACCCCAGATATCCCAACATCTGACCCCAGATACCTGACCTTCAACCCCAGATACCTTGCCCTCTAACATTAGGGCCCCCCACCTCCCGCCCAATGAGGAAAAAACTCCAGCCCCTTCCCACCTTGAGGCCCCGGGGACCCATGAAGCCAATATCTCCTTTGTCTCCTCGGACACCAGGGGCTCCATCCTTTCCTGGGGATCCCTGGTGGGGAAAGGGGTCAATATGAAGTCAAGGAGGTCAGGAGGGATCCAGGAGAATCACTCCGGATGAAAGGAACAGGGAACATCACAGGGTGAGAGTCACTATTGGAGGCCAGAACTGCTGGAAGGGCAGG